CCTCATCGAACTCACAACCTCCCCATATAAGGGAGTAACTTAATTATGTTTTTAAAAATTGAGAATAAAAATTCATCCTAATTAGGAGAGGTGAAATCTAGTGGAGTCGAGATTTTGACCGTTCTGCCCATTTGGTCTTCAAAGTCTTCCCATATGGGCAGCTGAGCCTTGTCCCATTTTTGTCTCCCAAAAGTGGGAGCAATTCCTTCAAAGCTGCCCCTCGTGCTACCGACAGCATAGCTTGACTTTATCCCGAATTCATGCATCTTTGGCAAGAAAATTAAAGCCCCGAAATTATAATAAAAATTTTGAATTAAAAGAAAAAATAATCAAATAATTGAGCCAGCAGGCCTTGGTTCAACTCCTCTATCCCTTTATTTAACACACCATTCACTGCTTGCATCAAACCCACTTTTTTTTCTTCCCTCTCTTCATATCAAGAAACTCACATCCATCTATCTATCAATCAATCAATCTTGAGCAGGAAAACCAATCAAAGTTCTCATCTTTTTCAAGTTCCTTTGAGATTGTTGCAAACTTTAAGGTTTGGTTCCAAGAATCCATCAGAGAAGATAGCCATGGAAGGTGTTGTGGCTCATGAGAGTGATCTGAATCTCAAGGCAACTGAGCTTAGACTGGGGTTGCCTGGAACAGAAGAGTGTGAGAAAGAAATGGTTTCAAGTGCCAAGAACAAGAACAAAAGAGCCCTTCCTGAATCAGACTGTGATGAAGAAGACTGTGAATCCAAAGCCAATTCTGATGCCAAAGCCTCTCCTGTTGCCAAGTAAGTTCACAGATAACAGATCAAATTATGGTTTGGAATGAAGAAAGATTGACTAATGTGCTGAGATTTTGATTTGATTTGTTGCAGGGCACAGATTGTGGGATGGCCACCAGTGAGATCTTACAGGAAGAACAGCCTGCAAGTGAAAAAAGCAGATGCATCTGAGAGTGGGATGTATGTGAAAGTGAGCATGGATGGAGCCCCTTATCTCAGAAAGATTGACCTCAAGGTCTACAATGGCTACCCAGAGCTTCTAAAAGCACTGGAAGCCATGTTTAAACTCTCCATAGGTCAATACTCTGAGAGGGAAGGCTATAAGGGCTCAGAATTTGCTCCTGCTTATGAAGACAAAGATGGTGACTTGATGCTTGTTGGAGATGTTCCCTGGGAGTAAGTCCTCTCCTCCAACCTAGACTAATCCAATCTAATCTAATCTCTGTTGAGCATATAGCCATTAATATGCAATCCAACTATTCAATTTGGTATCAAACCTATGTCAAAGGTCATGGTTCGAATCTCAGCGCCACCCATAAGCGACTATGGTCGTGTCATATAACCATTAAAATCCCAATTAGATCATTCTAAACTTAACTGTTCTAATTGGTTTTGGTCTGGGAATTGCAGGATGTTCTTGTCATCATGCAAGAGGCTGAGAATAATGAAGGGATCAGAGACAAGAGGGTTGGGTTGTGGCAACTGAAAAGTACCCACAATTATGAGCAAAGCTATCAGGAAAAGAGTGGAATATTCAAGATTCTGTCTCAGGCAGGCAAGCTTGGGTTGTCGGAAGATGACAAGAATCTCAGCCTAGTAGTTTTGGAAATCTTTTTGTAACATCAAAAAACACAGTTTCCCAGATTGGACTTCAGCCCAGAAGTTCATCCAGAAGAAACCAGTTCCTGTGATGTTATTCGTTTACTTCATTTCATTCTTTTCTTTTTATTATGTAAATTAATGTGTTATTATCAGGAAAAAAAAAAACCATGGTGGTTTTCAAGATTCCTGTGATGTTCTTGTTTCTGTTTTTTGGAATAATGCCATCGAGCATACAGAGAAATATATACAGTGTTTGCTCTTGAAGCAGTTGTACAAAGAAACATCGATCACATCTTCTAATAGCGACTATGAACGTGAACTTTCTGGTAAATCAAAAGAGAAAAGAAATAAAGATTGGATGATTTGAAAGGATGATGTTTTAAATAAGTTATAATGTACGTAAATCGTGTAACCTGTCACCTTTAATCTTGATCTAGTTTGTTCTTTTGCATCATGTATTGATATTTGCATTATGTGAGATGATATTAATTTGATAGAATTTCGATCAGACCTATTCAAGACAACTCTTTCAAAAACATCATTTCATATTTAAACGACTTAAATCAACTTTTTTTTTTTTTTTTTTTTTTTTTTTTAATGGTGATCAGTAACAAGATTATTATTAAAGAGAGTATCTCTCCCCATTTTAGGTTTATATGATATTTGTCTATGTATAGTTCAACTAATTGATCAATCTAAAAAAGTTATCAGTAATAATTAAGTTAATAGTACGGAGTACATGTCTAGCACGGTCGATTACTTTGACTCTGATACCAAATAAAAGGATGTGTATTGTCTCAATTAAAAACCTAAAATTAACCAGCTTGGTTGGCGTGTGAGTGGCTGTGCACTCTTGCCCTTTAAGAAAGGTCGGGAGTTCAAACCCACTCTTGTATGGAAAAATCAATCTAGCCAGGACATGCTAATTAGTCTCAGGACACCTGCCCCCTTAATTGGGCATACCCAGTTAGGATCTGCTTACGGCACATTGTGGTCTAACCTAAAATTGATAGTTAAACTATGCACTTATACTTACATGCACATTTATCAAAATACATCTCGTGATTTACCAGTTCAATTTAATTAAACACTCTAGAACATAACCGGTGAAGATCTTTGAGATTGAGGGTTTACATGATATTCCAACTAACATCATGCAGAAAAGATAACACAAATCCCCCCCAGATTTCATCCCACCAGAAACTAAATCCTTAAATGGACACATGTCAGATGAACCAAAGACATTGTCAAACCAGGCAGCTGAAGAACAGTCCCCCCCAGCCCCCCTGTGTTTAGTTGGTCAAAAATTTTGAACCATTGATGATAGAAGATGCTGTGGTTGCAGATCGAGTTGGCCTTTCTGTTTAAACACAGAAATAATGGAGACAGAAAGATTCCCACAGACTCCAGTGATTCATGTGATTGGGCTCTTAGTCTGCCTGTTAATAATAGGTTATTTGATTCTTTAGTTCACATGGGAGCTTTTTGTTGACAACAAGAAGCATCCAATGTTTCTCCTAACAATATAATGTTAGTTAGTGGGTCGACACAATGCATTATCTAATAGTTTAAACATTTTTATCCTCGAATCTTTTGAGCAATCAACACAATATTTCTTGTGCTTTGCAAATATTCCACTCCATAGATTAAGAAAGATTTTCAACAAAATTTTTGCTCCATTTCTTGGAGCCCTGCGCTGCGTCTTCATTCTGATTAAGTTTATGGAAAAGGTGGCAAAACTTCATTGTTTAAAAAAAAAAATTAGAAAAAAAAGTGTTAATAATATAATTAAGATGGAGAAGTTGGATATAATTCTTTCAAATTGGAAAATGTTACTTATTCAGCATGTTATCACTATTATGCCTGTTATTAAGGGTCCGTTTACTAGCTGAAAATTAGTTCCCGTATGCCCGTTATTAAGGGTCCATTTACGAGTTGAAAATTATTTCTAGTTTTATGAAAAATTGGAGAATACAAAACGGATAAGTTTTTATGTATATTTTTTTCAAAGGTGATGATGATTTGACTTGACATATCAAAAGGATTGAACAGAAAACTTGAAAGAAAATAAGAAACACTTTGAAGACAAGTCTCCATATGCGAGACCGCGAGACAAAGAAAACCCGGTGGTTGTCTTCATCCAGCCTCCCTCCCTCCCCCCTCCCCCCTTGCTATATATATTTTTTGAATAAGAGGGAAGGGCGAAGCCCCGGTTTACAAAAGCAAAAATCAGTCACCACGAGTATAGGGAGCCCCGATACAAATTCCTACGAACGCACGCCGTGAGGTCAATATTTGGACAAAAATCTAAAAGTGTCAAAACGGGCTCACAATCATAATTCTTCGCCAGCCAATCCGCAACTTGATTTTGTTCCCGCAAAATATGGTAGCACTTTCCATCTCCTCTTGATCCAACGCTTGCATTCAAAAATAATATTATTCAAAGTTCCCCCACCCTTAAGTGACACCCATGACTGTAATTTAATATAGTTGGAGAAGATAATCACCGGTTGTCCTCGTCTTGTCGAATGAGTGTTTTACCAAACAATCACAATATTTGAAAAATCACTTGCTTTTGCCTAGTTGGTTTCAAATGAACATAACTTGTTGAATATGTAACATTTGAATTCAATTATACTTTTTTACCGATTTCAAAAAATTTAATCAATCTTTTTTAAGCTACTCAATTGCACTATTTGCTAGAACCCTTGGTCGAGTTCAAACCTCAGTCTAGGTTAATTATGTTGTATCTTATCCTTATTTATAAAGTGATTGTGGAATGTTTGTACAGTAGTTAGTCCTAGCAACCTAGTTTATTTAGATGGCAATATTGATTGTTTAATTGATAATATAATACATTTGTATACTCACCATTTTTGGTACATATCAACAAAAGCTTATGATTAGTGTCTTAATGGTTGTGACCAACTCCAGAATAACATATCACAATTGCTGAGAGTTAAGAAAGCAATCAAACTTTCTGACAGCAATTTGAAGTAAAAGTCATTTCACATTTGGAGATCTTACACTGTACATAGTCTAATAAAATCACCAGCTTGTTCAAGATAGAATAACTATTATTATTATTATTATTATTATTATTATTATTATTATTATTATTATTATTATTATTATTATTATTTTGTTGGTAACGAGTGAAACCCGCAACTACGATATGAGGTTGTACACTGGGTAAACCTTCATATTGTGACTCTAGCCAGTAAAAGATTATAAGGAGGTAAACTAGCTTAAGTTGTTCATAACTGACTGGTTCAAATCAAGAAGGCCAATAGGCTGCTGCTGCTAAGCTAGGAACCAAACTTGGAACTAGCACTGGTGTAAGAGCTAGCCATGCTGCCAAAGAATGATCCTTTTCTCCCCTAAAACAGTCTCAATCACATAATTATAACTCTGTAAGTTGTATTTAGTAAATGGTTCACGAGTATTATAAACACTTCAAAGGCAAAAACGTATTACAATAAGTGAACGTTTACTTGGAAGGATATTAACATTCATCCATGAACACTATAATCATGGCTCGGGGCTTGACATAGGCGATCTGATTCCTTTACAACTCGTTGTTTGTCGTTGCAATGAAGTAACACAGGTTTATCCAAACTGTGAATTTCGGGTTTAGTTCTCCTATGCCTATGATTGTTCTGCGATTTCCTTGAGTGGCTTCCACATGAACTTTCTCCTGCACATGGCAAAAACAACAACACTTGAACAAACAACTAAGGATGCGAGTAAGGTTTAAGGTTTAGGTGGCTCAAATGCAAGTATAGACATCAATGCGAGTAAGGTTTAAGATTTCAGCCGGTACATGAATTGGGGTGAGAATGAAATTTGATCGCGCAAACTATTACCAGTTCCCACATTCTGCAATGACTCTCACTTTAGGACGAAGTGTTGGGAGTAAAGCAAGAAACTGCAGTTCTGCCTTTGATAACACCTGATAAAACAGGCCACAAGAACCAGAAGAACATTGGGTCACATAATGCACTGTTAAACCGCCTAACGCTAAACAATAAACTTGATTTAGAAAGTTTAACCTTAGCTTCTATTATCCAAACCACTAGCCCTTTGGCGTCGGGAGGAAGTAAAGAGAGCCTGTAATCAACTTCTGGTGGAAAATACCACCTAGCTATAGGCTGCTTTCCAACATGAGCCTGCAATATCACACTCTTCGTTAGAATCCCAAACGAGGCCAGATGAATTGAAAGATGTGTTCTGTCTCAACTAAAAGTAGTAACATAAACAACTAATTGAAAGATGTGTTTTGTCTCAACTAAAAGCAGCAACATAAACAACTGATTGAAAGATGTGTTCTGTCTCAACTAAAAGCAGCAACATAAACAACTGATTGAAAGGTGTGTTCTGTCTCAACTAAAAGCAACATAAACAACTGATTGAAAGATGTGTTCTGTCTCAACTAAAAGCAACATAAACAACTGATTGAAAGATGTGTTCTGTCTCAACTAAAAGCAGCAACATAAACAACTGATTGAAAGGTGTGTTCTGTCTCAACTAAAAGCAGAAACATAAACAACTGATAGCGAGACTATCCTCGTATCTTATACATTATATGCTCAACCAAACTAATTGCAGGAACAATTAATGCAAGAAACTCACAGGACAAACAGGATGAAACTTGGTGAGAGTGGTTTCAGGGTCACCTAAGCCACGAGCCGAGAGGTCCAAGAAATGATAGCCTTGATACCTAAGACGGGTGAAATAACGCCCCTCATAACCTCCTTCATGGGGAGGATAGATTGCCAAGGCTTTATGTTCTTCAACATCAGACAGCCATTTCCCTAAATCAAACCATACTAAATCCCCTCCAATGAAGTCCTCTATCCCCACACTACACCTCACATCTGCCGTCTTACGTTGTTGTCTTCCCATCCACCCCCATTTCCCCGCCGTGATAGCTACTAGCTGTTTCTTTCGAAACCCCCCAGAATAGCAGGCTGCAATCAGTATGGAAATTCAATAAACAAACTAAAGATCTAAAGATCACAACTTTATTAATACCCTAAGCTAAATTAGCAATACCCAATTTACAATAACTCTCAAAGATTAAAATAACTCCCAATTTTGATAAGTATAACCAAAAAAAAAAAAAGAAAAAAGAGAGAGAGGTGACCTGAAGAGGAACAAGGCTGATCTTCTAAGGACGCGATTCGACGGCGAGTTGGGGCGGCGTTGTTTGTCAAGAACCGTCGGGGGAGGGCGCTGGAGAGTGTTGAAGGAGTGGCCATGGCGGCAGAAAGACTACTTGGTAGTTTGTATGCGTTAGTTATCTTCTTCGTATTGGCAGTTGATGGCGCATGCCACTGCCCGCTAGCTTGTTTCGGCCATACAATTTTACGTTATATATCCACTAAACAAAGGCCCACTCATTTTCTTTTTCTTTCATGGAGAAAATTTCAAAATGTTCTTCGGAAATTTGTGAATAAAATTTATTTTTAATCTTAAAAATTTAATTTTAAATTTAACACAACCACTCGGAGTACAAAGTAGGTGGAGCTCAATGCTGATACACTATTGGATAGTAACTGTGACAATAATTTCTCTTGTCAACGTTAATTTTTTTATCTAATTTTCACTTTGTAACTTTAGTCAATAAATAACTAAAATGAAGTAAATCAATATAACTAAACAGTTAGATAATAGTTGTAATTTCTCTCGTCATTTTAACCTTAGTTTTTGTCTAGTTCTAGTCCGAAATAAACTATTTTCACCTTGTGATTGTAGTCGGCAAATGACCAAAATAAGATAAAGTTATTAGCCTAGCTGTGGTTAAATAGTGCTAATAATTTCTCGTTCTGGTTCATAATGAACCATATCTACATTGTGATCTTAGTCGAAGAAGAATGGTGAATAAATTTAAGTTTTTTATAAATGATCGGTTCAAATCAAGAAGATCAATAGTTAATTTTTATAAAAAAAACTTTCCAATAGATGGATAATGGCACTTTTTTTTGTTTTTTTTGGAAGCTATGGATAATGGTACTCCTAGTTTCCTACACTTGTACGCTACAGCTTCACCTTGAATAAAATCATTAAAAAAGATAAATCTAAGGAACATGTCGAGATCACTGTTGGACTGCTACTGGACTTCTTCACTTACTCACTGGCAGAGACGCTTCAACCCATTTCTCTCGCGCCCGCAATTCTTTCCTCGCTCTCCTTCAATTCGTCTCGTCAACCCTCTCTCCGCCGGACCCTTCCCTCCTCCGTCTAGGTAAACGTAAACCCACAGATTGCCCCCTCTCTCGCATTCCTTATCACTTCTGAAAATTGCTGTTTTTTTTTTTTTTTTTTTTTTTTTTTTTTTTTCTTTTGTGTTGACCTTCCAATTCTGGGTATTCTCTGTTGCTAGTTTTCTTTTTTCTTGTGCGAATTTCCAAGATTTGACAATCAGCATGAATCCGACACCCTCGAGAAATGTGGGTTGAGGTTTTTTTTGATATTTGGGATGTTGATAATATGCTATCCTTCTGATGATTGAAAAGGTGTTAGTTTGTAGCAAAAGTCTGTGTTTTGGCAATTTAGCAGAACTTATGTTGCTTATGTAACGTTAAACTTTACAAACTGGGCACAGAAAGTGCTTCTAAAGAAAACTCTACAGAATTTGTAGATTACATACATTTTTCAATATTTGTAAATTGTAAGTAATGCTTTGGTCCTTAGGTCACTATAAATTCTTGTCTGATTCAATTGGTCAACTTGTTTTTCCTAACAGATACTTTTCAGCTAGTTTTGCTATGGAAAACCCTCAAACCAAGCCCCCGAAAGGATTGCCTTTGGGCGTAGATGCATCTTCCGAGGAAGAGTACTCTTCGCAATCTAAATTGCTCAAAGAATTTATAGATATCCCCATTGTTGACAAGGCTTGGACTTTCACTTCTAGCAATGGTAAGGATTTCGTTATTATATATTGAAGTGTGTCTTCCACCTTAACTAAAAGTTTACATATGTGGCTAGCTAAATTTGGTTGCTTTTCTGTGCAAGAAGGTTCCCAGGGCATGTTCTTAATTAGCCAACCAAATCTCTTGGAAAACAAAAAGAGGAGATATTTATTATCAAACACTATCACAAAAGGAGCAGACAGTTCTGTTAATTTTAAATGGGCTCCATTTCCAATTGAAATGGCTGGAGTCTCTACAATGGTTCCATCTCCTTCAGGTTCAAAGCTTCTTGTTATTCGTAATTCAGAAAATGGCTCACCGACTCACTTTGAAATATGGGGGCCCTCTCACGTGGAAAAGGAAATTCGCATTCCTTGTTCTATCCATGGAACTGTATATTCAGATGGATGGTATTTCCTCAATCAACTAGACATTACCAACTCTAAATCTTTATCTTTGAAGTGAACATTGTGATTCTACTTGATAGTACATTAATAGCTTCAGTCCACTACCATATATTTGGCTTTTTTTTTTTAATATTTGAGTTTAGGAGGTTTCTGATGCCAGGTTTGAGGGAATTTCGTGGAACTCTGACGAAACTCTAATAGCCTATGTTGCTGAGGAGCCTATTCCTTGCAAGCCGACATTCACTAATTTTGGTTATAAGAAAGGCAATGGGGCTGATAATGATTGTGGTAGCTGGAAAGGAAAAGGACAATGGGAAGAGGACTGGGGAGAGACCTATGCAGGGAAAAGACAACCTGCTTTGTTTGTCATCAATATTAACAGGCAAATTATCTGTTTTTTGCTTTAATCACTTTTGTAGGCCACATAGCTTTTCTTCTTTGAATGCCTGAATATCTATTTTTGCAGTGAAGAGGTATATCCCGTTGAAGGCATAGGGAAGTCATTGAGTGTCGGACAAGTTGTTTGGGCTCCAAAAGTAGAAGGTTTGCAACAATATCTGGTTTTTGTTGGATGGCCGTCAGACACTAGAAAGTTAGGAATCAAATATTGCTACAATAGGCCTTGTGCCTTGTATGCTGTCAAAGCTCCAACTTCTAAATCAGAAGTCCATGAATCTGAGTAAGTTGCTAAAGACAAAAGCTTCTACTTGAATCATTACTCTATTGAGATCAGATTAGACCTTCTCTTATTTGATATTTGTCCTATACTCTTTATTTTGGTTTCTTTTTTCCCCAGTCATAAGGCAACTGAAGATGAAATTATGGTTAAACTGACAGAAACCATTAGTAGTGCATTCTTCCCCCGTTTCAGGTATGTCCACTCACATATTATGTCCAACCACAATCAGTAAATGGAAGGATAAGAGTTGAGTTCTCTAAAATTGCTTGGCTAATGCCTATATCAACAAGAATCCTTCCAACTTTCATGTTATTTAGCACTCGTGACTTATATTGCATCAGAAAAATAAAAAAAAAATGTAAGACCTAACTATTTAATCCAATTTTCAGCCCGGATGGGAAGTTCCTTGTGTTTTTATCATCAAAAAGTTCAGTAGATTCCGGAGCACATTCAGCAACAAATTCACTTCATAGGATTGATTGGTCAACTGAGAGAAAGCCATGCCAAGGTGCAAAAATTGTTGATGTGGTAGGCTCACCTTCCTGTACCCTGCTAGTTATTGTGAAATCTTTTCTTTATGATCTATAAAACGGAATATGAATTCCTGGAGCCCTTTATCCTTTAATTAGAAAACGATAAATGGATATATTTTATTGTCTTCCATTTCATGTAGGTTCCTGTTATTATGTGTCCTGAAGATGGTTGCTTCCCAGGAATTTATTGCTTTGATATTCTTAGTAAACCGTGGCTTTCTGATGGTTATACTTTAGTTTTAGCGTCATATTGGGGAAGCACTCAGGTGGTACTTTCCATAAACATTTTAAGGTAACTAAACAAGAGAATGTTGTCTTATTAACGAGAATGCTATATGATCCTCTTTTGCTTAATCGTGTGCTTTTATATTGACAGTGGACACGTGGCTCGCATTAGCCCTATCAACTCAGATTTTTCTTGGAATATCCTTACACTAGACGGAGACAACATAATTGCCGGTTAGATTCATTGCTATATGTCCTTTTGAACTGGGAACTTATTGAATTTTTTGACTGAATCCAAGTGAACAAATCTTCCTTTGTAAATTTCTCTTTGAAGTCTGTAGCAGCCCAGTCGACATTCCTAAAATTAAATATGGTGTTGTTGAAAAGGCATCTCCGGAAGCCATATGGAGTTGGCTAGACATTTCAAGCCCAATATCCAGGTGCTCTGAAAAGGTCAGTTTCTACTTTCTAGCTTTGCTTATATCCTCTAAAATGTTTGTTTCTCTCTCTACATGTGGATTTAATGTCCAAAATCATTTTTTTCTTATAACCCTCACAGGTTACGTCATTACTATCATCCCAACAATTTAGTATCATGAAGATTCCAGTCAGCGATGTCTCTGAAAGCCTTCCAAAAGGTATTAAAAGTAGCAAAAATCCCTTCTTGAAATGAAATAAGTCTTAAATATGCTATAGGGGAGCTAGCATGAGGCAAGAGTAAAATGTTGACAACGCTTATTTGTTTTAGGTGCTACAAAACCTTATGAGGCAATATTTGTGTCATCTAAATCTAAGAAGCATGATGAGCATGATCCACTGATTGTAATCCTTCACGGGGGTCCTCATTCTGTCTCACTGTCAAGCTTCTCAAAATCCTTAGCTTTCCTTTCATCACTTGGTTTTAGCTTGCTGATTGTAAATTACAGGTATGCAAAGGTTTCCTTCTTTTTTTTGTAATTTATAGAAATTTGAAGCTTTTGTTCACTTAAACTTCAGATTTGTAATTTGGAGCGGCCTATTGGCCAGTCAGCTATGGGCAACCTAGGCTGGTTTACCTCCTTGTGGTCCTTTGCTGGCTAGGATCAGAAGACAGGGTTTACCTAATGCACACCCTCGGGTAGTGGTTGTGGGTTTCTCTCGTTACTCAAAAATAGACATCATTGTGTTATACTGAATCTGAAGTTAAGTTGGATTATGTTCTTGATTGAAGTGTATTATAATATATGATTTGGTTTACTTCAGAGGCTCCTTGGGATTTGGCGAGGAAGCTCTGCAATCTCTTCCTGGGAAAATTGGGTCCCAGGTGCTGGTTAAGCTCTTCTTGTTTCCCCTTCCAAAACATTATGTTCATTCGTTACTTTGAGACCCACCCTAACCCAATTCTTTTGCATGCTCAGGATGTTAACGATGTGATCACTGCTATTGATCATGTCATCAATATGGGTCTTGCAGATCCATCTAAAATAGCTGTTCTTGGTGGTTCCCATGGTGGATTTCTAACGACACACTTGATTGGCCAGGTTCCAGATTCTACAGAGCCTTCTTTTGCTGTTATTGTTCTCTAATATATAGCCGTCGACATTTCTGCTGTTATTTCTACAGGCCCCGGAGAAGTTTGCAGCAGCAGCTGCAAGGAATCCCGTCTGCAACCTTGCTTTGATGGTCGGCACAACTGATATCCCCGATTGGTGCTATGTGGAAACGTTTGGAAGTGAGGGTATATTGAGCTTTACGGAGGCCCCTTCTTCTGAACACCTTGCTGCATTTTACAGCAAATCACCCATTGCTCACATCTCTAAGGTAAATGGGAAGCCAAATTTGAAGTTTTAAGTTTCATGATACTCAATTCACACTTTCATATTTGTTATAATCTAAGATTGGGCCAGGTCACTCAATTGGGCTATAATGCGCATGGGCCAAACCACACTAAAAGATTGAATTCAACCAATTAGCTAGTCTAACTCATATATCCTCTCTTATTTTATCAATGTGGGACTCTTAACATATTCAACCAGTACCTGTTAGAATGGAATCCTTATAAAACTTTCCTACATAATTCTGTTGAATATTGCAGGTTAAAACTCCTACACTCATGCTTTTAGGCGCTAAGGATCTTCGAGTACCAGTTAGCACGGGATTGCAAGTAAGGCATATTACACTTCTCGATGGATGTGTCCGATTATGTACACTTCTGTTTATCAAATATTTGATCTAGTATGTGATTCTGAAAGAGCGAGTGTGTCCTTTACTGATGCAGTATGCACGAGCTTTGAAGGAGAAAGGAGTTGAGGTAAAGGTGATCTCGTTCCCAGAAGACGTGCATGGAATTGAAAGGTAAGCGATGATCCTATATCTATCGACTTGGTATGGCCTAGTTCTGTTTAGTTATGCGTGGATCGATCTCTCTTGCAGACCACAGTCTGATTTCGAAAGCTTTCTAAATATTGGAGTGTGGTTTAAGAAGTACTGCACATAAACGAACGAACTATCCATTTTCTGGCACACCGAGACTCTCTCTGAACATCAACACAACAATGTTCGGGCACGAAAAATAAAAGATGCTGTAATTTATTATCTCGGTTTCACTGACTGGACTGGTGCAAGCAGCATACCTGGTTTCTTGAAGAGAACCACTTGTGAATTAAACCAAGGGAGGGATTTTTCTTTCATCTTTTCATGGCACTTGAAAGTTGAAACTGCCAATTCAAATGCTTCTCTTTCTGATGTATAGACTATGAATATTTTAACTTATGTGAAGTTTATAATTTAGATATTGTAATATATTTCATTAATTTTCCTACTAAGTTTTGTATGTTATGTTAATTTTGATACTGTATATATGACATAATCCAATTAATGTTATAGTAATGTTTTTAGATTTAATTTAAAAATTAATTAAACTTACACCAAGAATTCTAAAGTTCCAAACTTTAAAACTATAATTACTTAGGGCTGTTAACGAACCGAACATAAACGAACGAAGGTTGTTCGTGTTCGTTTGTTAAGAATTTTGAGGTGTTCGTGTTCGTGTTCGTTTGTTAAGGTTTTTGAAAATTCTGTTCGTGTTCGTTTGTTAAGCGTTCATTAGTGTTTGTTAACGTTCGCAAACACGTTCACGAACGTGTTCGTTTACGTTAACGAACATGTTCGCGAATGTGTTTGTCAACGTTTGCGAACACGTTCACGAACGTGTTCGTTAACATTAACAAACATGTTCACAAACATGTTCGTTAACAAACACGTTGGTTTACGTTCACGAACATGTTGGTTTACGTTCATGAACCTTTAATAACCAAACACCTGCACATGTTTATTATCATAATTCGTTTGTGAACAAGAAATAATCTACGTTCATGCATGTTCGCAAACATTATTAAACGAACTTGTTCACGAACATTATTAAACGAACACAAACGAGTTTGTTCACGAACATTATTAAATGAACACAAACGAGCTTGTTCACGAACATTATTAAACGAACACAAACGAGCTTGTTCACGATCTCTTAGCAAACGAACATACAATTGTTCAAGCTCTGTTCATTTATTAACCGAGCTCTAATTTTTGTTTGTTAATAGTTCGTTTACCTTAACAAACGAACATAAACGAACGCTTACCGAACACGAACACGAGTAGTTTGCCGAAAGCTCTGTTCGCTAACACCCCTATAATTACCCCAATTTTGTCCCAGATAGCATGTAGTGACTCTCCCATGTGGGAGGTTATGAGATCGAGCCTCAGTGAAAACGTTGTTGAGTCTCTTTGTGCTTCATTAGGTTGAGAAAGTATGTTTGAACATATACTACAATGTAATAGAGTCAGTAGCATTTAGAAAAATAATAATAATAATAATAATAATTACCCCAATTCTCAATTTGATTTTTTTTACCTTTTAGGTCATTAATGTGCCACAAGATATATTATATAATAAAACAAAAGGAAGATGATGAAAATGTCCCATTCAATCTTGAGAGTGCAGAAAGATGAAGAGGTGACAGAATATCATATAATAATCCATTACCCTTTATACTGCTTTTGCTTCGATTCCTCTCTTCATCCTCTACCTAAGCTACTCAGACCTCAGTTGCAGAACAATTTCACCTCTCCTCTCCAGAACAATTTTAAATAAGTAAATAAATATATATATTATTTAAATAATATAAATAATATATTAATAAGTTAATAAGTTAATATCTCAAGCTCAAGTTGGCTCAGTCCTCAACCCTAACTCCCTCAAGTCAGTCAGTTGTATTCCAATTTGCAGCCCGACTGTCCGACACTCACGAGTCGCGCCCTCCGACCTCGCCACTTCGCCGGTAGACACCGACGACGCAGCCACCACTCGCCTGACCACCGTTGAAGGGCGCCGGCGACCAAAGAGGACAAGAGGTAATGTTTGCCTTGACAATGTCTTGTTTCAAAATTCAAACTTTCATAGTTTCTTGAATTTCTACTGGGATGAAATTAGGGTTCTTGAATTCCACAGATTTAGATTTTACTATTTTAGGGTTCTTGAATTTCTACTGGAATGAAATTCCAGCTCACTGTGACATTCCAGTTCCAGTGAATTGGAAATCTGGAATGACATTCCAGTTTACATTCCAAGTGGATGATTCTTATTTTAATAATTCGTTAGTAAACTGGAATTTCATTATTGTTTTAATAATGCAGATGATGGATGAACAACTTGACAATTCAAACTTATTGTTTCAAACTTTCAATTCAAACACTCGACAATATTTGCCTTTATAGGTTTTACAGATTTAAGCTCATGAATTTTCACCTTAGCCTTATTTACAGATTTAGATTTTAGGGTTCTTGAATTTCTACTGGAATTTTCGTTCCAGTTCTGGAATTTTGTGCTTTCTTGATTTCTTATATACATTTTTCTAAAAAAAAATTACAGAAACTGGGACGAAATTCCAGTGTCCAGTCACTGGAATTTCGTTCCAGTTTCTGGAATGAACTGGAATTTCATTCCAGTTTTAATTCTAGTGTAGTAATGGAATTTCATTACATTGTTTTTGTTCTTTTTCTTGAATATTTTGGTTAGAGGTGGACACTAACCATTGGTATTCATTGGCTACTTATTACAGATGGATGGTTCATGATGGAAACGTTGAAATTTGGGGATCTTAAACCGAACCGAAAAACCAAAACCGAAAAGAACCGAATTGAAGCCCGAAACGCCCACCCCTAATTTCCAAACATGAGAGGACTCGGAGCTGCTAGCCACCGCCTCCACCAATTCCCAAAACGCCGTGAAATCGCCACCCATGTTTCTTTCCTCCCCTTCTCCACCGAGGCCCAACTCAATTCTTCGCCTAAGCCGCCGCCGCTGCCAAATCCAATTTCGGATTACTCATCTCCCATTCTCCGAGAATCCAGCCCGGATGATTGGAGGTCCAATTCTCAACTCCATGAATTCTTCCACGCTTCTCCATCTCCAAACTCCGTCCTCCAGATCGCCCGTCAATTGGGCTCAGCTGAGAAGGCGCAGCAGTTCTTCGACTTCTTCAAGGCCCAAACTTCACCTTCTTCGCCTGACTCATTCTCTCTTTCCCTAGCATTCCAAGCCATTATCGAGCACTCAATGCGGGAGACTCGGTGCTCGCCCACTAAGCTCTACGAGCTCTTTTGCTCGGCCAAACAACAAAATATCTCTCTGTCTATCAATGCGGCGATGATGCTGATTCGATGCTTCGTGGAAGCCCGAATGTTTGAGGAATCTCTATCGGTCTTCTACCAGCTTGGCCCAGAATCGAGGAACATGATCGTGGTAAATAGGCTTTTGGATGCGTTGGTTCGAGGGGGCCGTCTTGATGCTGCGTTGAAGATGCTCGACGAAATGCTCCAACCAGATATGCGTTTCCCACCAAATGAAAATACCATGGAAATTTTCTTGTCTGCAATTTGGAGAAGTGACTGGAGAGGGATGAGTATGAGGGAGGAAGAAATTTCTGGGCTTGTTTCAAGATTTGGAGAACATGGGCTGTTCCCAAACGATATCTGGCTATCTAAATTGATCACCAAGTTTTGCCGGAGTGGTAGATGTGATATAGCTTGGGACCTTTTGCACCATATGATTAGGTCAGGTGGTCAAGTGAAAACTGGTTCTTGCAACGCCCTTTTGGCCGCATTGGGTAGGGAGCATGATTTTCAGAAGATGAATATGCTAACAAATGAGATGAAGGAAAAGGGAATTGCACCAAATGTGGTTACGTTTGGAATTCTTATTAATCATTTATGCAAGCTTCATAGGGTTGATGAGGCATTGCAGGTGTTTAAGAAGATGAGGGGTGCTAGTGAGGGCATTTCTATCGAGCCTGATACTATCATTTATAATACTTTGATTGATGGCCTATGCAAAGTTGGGAGACAAGAAGAAGGAGTGCGGCTGATGGAAAAGATGAGGTTGGAGAAGGGATGTACACCTAATACTGTTACCTTTAATTGCTTGATTGATGGATTCTGCAAAGCGGGAGAGATTGAGAGGTCAATGAAGCTTTTTTATCAGATGAATGAGGATGGAATAGTGCCAAACATAATTACTTATAATACTTTGCTTGATGGTATGTGTAAGCATGGAAGGGTTGGTAGTGCAATGGAATTCTTCACTGAAATGCAAGAGAAAGGTCTCAAAGGGAATGCCATTAGTTATAGCATTCTTATTACCGCTTTTTGCAATGCGAACAATATTGAGAAGGCAATGAAATTATATAGTGAAATGACAGAAAGTGGATGTTATGCAGATGCAGTTGTATACTACAGCTTGATATCGGGGCTAAGCCAGGCTGGAAGGATGGATGATGCTTGCCTTGTTTTATCGAGGATGAAAGAAGCTGGATTTTCCTTGGACATAACCGGCTACAATGTTCTCATTGGTGGATTTTGCAGGAGGAATAAATGGGAAAAAGTTCACGAATTGCTTCAAGAGATAGAACAAACGGGCATCAACCCCGACTGTGTTACATACAATACATTGATATCATTCTTCAGTAAGAAGGGGGAATTCGCAAGGGCCCACAGGTTGCTGAAGAAGATGGTCGGGGATGGTATGGTGCCTACAGTTATCACTTATGGAGCATTAATTCATGCATATTGTGTGGCGGGTAAACTTGATGAAGCTATGAAACTATTTGAGACTATGCATTATAGTTCAAAACTGTCACCCAATACAGCGATATACAATTCTTTGATTGAGTCTCTCTGTAAGAGTGACAAAGTTGAAGATGCTCTTTCCTTAATGAATGATATGAAGGACAAGGGGGTTAGGCCAAATACAACAACGTATAATTCGATCTTTAAAGGTCTTCAGGAGAGAAATTGGTTCGAGAGGGCTTTTGAAGTAATGGATGAAATGACTGCGAACCTCTGCAATCCTGATTATGTTACCATGGAAATCCTCACTGGATGGCTCTCTGCTATTGGTCAAAGTGAGAAGTTGCAAAGTTTTGTCCAAGGATATCAGGTTTCTGCTTAACTAATTCAAATGGCACTTGAAAGTTGAAACTGCCAATTCAAATGGTTCTCTTTCTGATGTATAGACTGATTTTTTCTTTGAATATTTTAACTTATGTGAAGTTTATAATTTAGATATTGTAATAGATTTCATTAATTTTCCTACGGTGGTTTATAATTTTTTTTTAATAAGTTTTGTATGTTATGTTAATTTTGATACTGTATATATGACATAATCCAATTAATGTTATAGTAATGTTTTTAGATTTAATTTAAAAATTAATTAAACTTACACCAAGAATTCTAAAGTTCCAAACTTTAAAACTATAATTACCACAATTCTCAATATTTGATTTTTCTTTTTTTCTTTTAGGCCAATGTATCACAAGATATTATATAATAAAACAAAAGGAAGATGATGAAATGTCCCATTCAATCTTCAGATTCCACACTGAGAGTGCAGAAAGATGAAGATGATGAAAATGTCCCATTACCCTTTATACTGCTTTTGCTTCGATTCCTCTCTTCATCTTCTACCCAAGCTACTCAGTGGCAGAACAATTTCACCTCTCCAAGTAAATCACTAACTTTATCTCTCTCCCTGTATCTCCTTGTATGTGTCTGTGTGCACTTAATATCACACTATAATGGTGTTGACTTTAGCTTTACAGATCTTATGCTGGCATTGGTTATACTTAAAATCACAATTTTGCTGGACTAATTCTAAGTGAGATTTTTTCCCTTTATTGTTCCTATATTCCATTGCATAAAATTTCTTGAGAATGGGTAACTATAGCTTTTAAATGTTCATTCCAAAGTTGTGATCTTTTTGGGTTAACAGCTATGGGGAGGCAATGGCATCCTAATCCTCACAGCTATAGTGTTCTTCTTTTGAGTGACGAGGGACCGAGTAAACCCAACTTGTGACTCTAACTGACAAAGGGCCACAAGAAGGTAAACTAATCTAGGTTACCCATAACTGATTGGCTCAAACCAAGAAAGTCAATAGGTCACTTTCGTTGGGAGTCGAACTTGATGGTTGCCAAGTCAACAGCCTTGACCAACTTGGCTGGGGTTGCCCGCAAAAGTGTTCTTCTTGAATTGCTAGATTGGATACCATCTGTTGATTGTAACTAATAATCATCTTAATCAATCTGTTTTTGTTTTATGTTTATCCAGCTTTCCAGTTTAATTTAAAAGAAATTCCTATGGGTTTAGATGCATCTTCTGAGGAAGAATGTAGTTATCAGTCTAGATTGCTCCAAGATTTTATGAATATCCCTTCAATTGACAAGGCATGGACTTTCACATCCAATGGTGGTATGTTCAAAGGCTTGTGATTATGAATTATCTCTTTCGAGTTTCGAGTTCTATTATCTGCTAACATTAAAGAGAAAGAAAGCATATGATTAATGCATGGCCTTATATGGTTTTGCTGTATGTGAAGGTTCTCAGGTTATGTTCTCACTTACTCAGCCAAATCTCCAGGCCGATAAGAGAAGGAAATATGTGTTGTCCAGTCAAATCTCGAGAAGCCACAGTGATACCATTGAATTTCAATGGGCTGCTTTCCCTATAGAGATGGGAGGCGGCTCTATAATAGTTCCGTCTCCCTCACGTTCAAAGTTGCTTGTAGTTCATAATTCTCAAATCGGTTCCCCTACCCGCTTTGAAATCTGGGGTCAGTGTGGAGTGGAAAAGGAGTTTCATATTCCTGCCTCTCTTCATGGTTCTGTATTTTCAGATGGATGGTTAGTTTGTAATTATTCTATCGAAAAGAATTCCGGGATTAGTTTATTTGGTAACAATTGCGTGAATAATTAGTTCTACTGGCCTATGTGGTGACAGGTTTGAGGGTATTTCGTGGAACTATGACGAGACTCTCATTGCTTATGTTGCTGAAGAACCTCTTCCCGCTAAGCCAACCTTTACATGTTCTGGTTTCAAGAAAGGGAATTCTTCGACGCAGGATGATTGTGGTAGCTGGAAAGGCCAAGGAGATTGGGACGAGGGCTGGGGAGAAGCCTATGCTGGGAAAAGACAACCCGCACTTTTCGTGATCAACATTGACAGGTGTGGTTTAACTACTATCCACTTTCGGTATGGCAAAGACAGCATATATAGTTGTGGTTTCCGTTGATAGGAAGATTAAATCTAATTCCATGCAGTGGGGAAGTACGGGCTGTTGAGAAAACAGACAAGTCACTTAGTGTTGGACAGGTTGTCTGGGCTCCATTAACTGCAGACTCGCAACAATACTTGGTGTTTGTTGGGTGGCCGTTGGCTAGAAAGTTTGGTATCAAATACTGCACGAATAGACATTGTGCTTTATATGCCATCGAAGCCCCCTTCGTGAAGCTAGAAGCCCAGCAATCAGGGTAACTATGAATTTCTCGGGAGAGACTGGACTGATGAATATTGTTCGGTTTGCTCAAATTTTCTTGTTAAGCAGCTAATTAATGTAAATTTCGAGTCTTTTGCAGAACTAATGCAAATACGTCCTCCATGGTCAAGTTGACAGATACCATAAGCAGTGCTATGTTTCCGCGTTTTAGGTAAGTACTTCACTCTTCAATTGATTTTGCATTGAATTTAATAGGAACTTATATATATATATCTCTACATTCTGCTTGTCAGCCCAGATGGAAAGTTTCTTGTGTTCTTATCCTCAAAAAGTGCGGTAGATTCTGGAGCGCATTGTGCAACTGACTCGCTTCATAGGATTGCTTGGCCAAACGGGAAGCCATGCCCACCTGCTGGAATTATCGATGTGGTATGCTCTTCTGTTTCTCTGCAGAATCTTTAATTTCGAGGAAACACTGTTGACTTCGATCTGTGATCTTTAACCGACATCTATAGGTTCCAGTTGTGATGCACGCTCACAAGGACTCCTTCCCTGGGCTTTACTGTTCGAACCCTGGGCTTTACCATTCAAACATTCTCAGTCAGCCATGGCTTTCTGATGGGCACACTATTCTCCTAACATCTGTCTGGGGCAGCTCTCAAGCAATACTCTCGATTGACATAATGAGGTATCTGATTGAGAAATCATATTTTATGGCTTTCCTATGTATGTAATGATTCGCTAATTCAACTTCAGTGGTGAGGTATCGCGAATTAGTCCTAGCAACTCGAGTTTTTCATGGGAGATCCTCGCTCTAGACGGTGATAATATCATTGCTGGTAACAGAAGACATTGTTTTCCAATATATCTTTATCATATATGTAGCTATGCTATATACTTATGTTATGTACTTATTTATATTTTCTTGCTTGTTAACAGTATGCAGCAGTCCAGTTGATATCCCCGAGATCAAATATGGTTGCCTTGTCAGACAGAACACAAATGAAACCGCGTGGAATTGGCTTGATACCGCAAGCCCCATATTCAGATCCTCTGCAAAGGTTCCTATATCTTGTTTACGTTATCTGCAATATTTCTTTGTTCCAATACTTATACTGCTCGTTTGCAGGTTAACATTTTGTCGTCATCTCACCAGTTCAGTATTCTCGAGATTCCTGTTTCGGGTACATCTGAGAACTCTTATGAAGCGATTTTTGTATCCTCCAAGCTAAAGAAACAACACAGTGGCTGTGATCCACTCGTTGTAATCCTTCACGGGGGTCCCAACGCTGTTTCATTGACGAGCTTCTGCAATACCTCGGCATTTCTTTGCTCTCTTGGTTTTAACTTGCTGATGGTGAATTATAGGTGAGCCAATTAGCTAAATGGCAAACGCTTCTTTCTGCTCTTATAATGTCTTCGCTACAGATCGAAATTTGGAGTGTTAGTTGTGGCTTTGAGTATGATTATTGAACTTAATATGTTCACCCCAGAGGCTCTTTAGGATTTGGCGAGGAGGCGTTGCAATCTCTTCCGGGAAAAGTTGGATCACAGGTAGTGCTTTTCCGAGGTGCCAGGTTAGTCGTTTTGGCGCTCTTTATTGATCGTAATTCAGTGATCGTATATACATGTGCAGGATGTCAAGGATGTGCTCCATGCTATAGACTATGTTATTGACATGGGATTTGCAGATTCATCCAAAATTGCTGTGACTGGCATTTCCCACGGCGGATTTTTGACAACGCACTTGATAGGACAGGTCGCCTACCATCCCTTCCTGTTGTCCAATTGGCTTTGATACCAATTGTTAAGATCAAACGCTTGCCATTACGCCAAAGACTATAGCTAGTTGCGAAGGCGCAATTTTATTTCTTTATACTTGAGCATGGTTGCAGTAGGCACTAGGCGCTAGTCGGGCGGTAGAGTAGCGCCTAGCGCCTAGCGCCTAGACGGTCTAAGCGGGCGCATATGCGGCTAACTAAAAAAAGAAAAAAACAGTGCACGTGTGTGTATATATGTCATATTATATATATACATATACATATACATATAGGTCATATCAGGTGAGAATCATGCCCCAGATGAGAACGTGGGGACAAATCTAAACCATTGATCTAGTAGATACAACGGTTGAAATAAACAAAACTTTGTAATATTTATGAAAATGACCCTGCTCATTTTAAAAGTTTATAATATTTATGAAAATGACCCTGCTCATTTTAAAAGTTTCTAATATTTATGAAAATGACCTCACTCATTTTTTATTTGATTTCTCATCCATTAGATCTTATAGATCAATGGTTTAGATTTGTCCGCACGTTCTCACCTAGGACATGGGTCTCATATGATTAGGATTCTATATATATATATATATATATATAGTAAGGCCGAGCGGACTGGGTTAACTCGGCTAATTCGACCGAAATGAACGAGTTAACTCGGCCGAGTTAGGCGCTAGGCAGTCGCCTAGGCGGCCAGTTGCTTAGGCGGGCACCTAGGGGGGAAATCGTCACGGTCTAGGGGCGCCTAGCGCCTAGGCGAACGCCTAGACCGATTTTCGCAACAGTGTACTTAGTAGTAGTCAGCGTCACGTTTTGATTGCAGAATGGTGGACTCGGCCCACTAAGCCGCCGCCTAACAGTTCTTTTCTTCGAGTTTGCAGGCACCAGAGAAGTTTGCTGCTGCAGCTGCATTGAATCCAGTCTGCAACTTTGCCTTGATGGTTGGCACCACTGATATACCTGATTGGTGCTATTTTGAGGCACTTGGAAGTGAAGGGAAATTGAGCTTTACTGAAGCACCTTCAGCACAACACCTAGAACAGTTTTACAACAAATCTCCGATTTCACATGTTTCCAAGGTGGCCTCTTTTGCTAAGTCTTTATTACTTGTGGAATATATATATTCACAACTAGAAATCTCGCATTTTTCAACCACTTAGGATTATATTTTACGTTAGGAATGACATTTCCAATCACTTTGGGGGATCCGAAAAGTCTTTAATTTGTCACTGTTTCTGACCACTTTTTCTAGTCCTAAATTTCTGTCTACTGTTAAAGTGGTTGGGAATAACGAGTTTTCTAGCGTGATCCCATCGCTACAATCTACTTCAACTTCTCCCATTGATGTTATTCTTTCAGGTTAAAGCTCCAACACTGGTACTCTTAGGCGGTAAAGACCTCCGTGTACCTATTCCCGATGGATTGCAAGTATGTATATACTGAATCGATCGTCTAATTTTGTAATTGTATTAACAGTCCGTTTACCAAGTATCTCAAATCATGGGTTGCTTGTGGGTATTTGAAGTGCACCATTTCATGTAGTGAATGATTTCTTTCTTTGAATATTTGTAGTATGCACGTGCACTGAAGGAGAAAGGGGTTGAAGTTAAGGTTATGATGTTTCCTGATGACATTCACCCAATTGACAAGTGAGTCCTCCATTAATTATCAAATGACTAATATTACACATGCATGCTCGTATATTCTATTCCGTTTTTTGAGTGATGGGAGAAATTCGCAGTTACTATTCAAGTGTGTGCATTGAGTAAATCTCGCCTTGTATGTGACCCTAGTCGGCAAAGAAATATAAGGAGGTAAATCAGTCTAGGTTGTCCATAACTGATCAACTCAAACCAAGAATGCCAATATAATAGACTGCACCCGTTGGGAGTTGAACTCGATTTTACTCCATGCTTATGTGGTGTGTTCTGATTCATCTTAAAAAAAAAAAAAAAAAAAAAAAAAAAAAAAGTGGTGTTGGGCTTGGCCCCACCTGCCAATCTTAACTGCCCTTGATGATCGGCTCAGATACCACTTGTTAGGATCAAGCGCTTACCAGTTACCACTACACCAAAAGTTATATAGTTTGTAGCGAAGGCGCAATTTTATTTCCTTATATACCTCCCACCACCTTTTCTAGATGCAGGGTGCTGAACTTGACCCTTTAAGCCTTCGCCTAACAATCCTCTAATACCAATTATTGGACGCCTGGACTTGGCACTTCATAATTATCTTTTGCCCAACACTCTCTTTCTCTTCTATCAATAAAATCAATACACGTGACGGGAGTTTTACTCCATGAGAATCCATATATCATTTTCGTAATGAAATTTGGTTCTTCTGAGTTCTGCATATAATGAGCTAAAGTTCAATAAACGTATATGCATGCTTAGAACTAATACAAATTTTTAAACTACATACTTTCACTTTCAATCCTCTTCTGCAGACCACAATCTGAGTATGAAAGCTTTCTGAACATTGGAGTGTGGTTCAAGAAGTACTGCTACTAACATGGCTCAGAGGATCAAGTTCTAATGTTCCATGCTTTAATTTGAGTTCATAAATGCCAATATTAGTGCATTATTATAAATAACTCAATGATCTTACTATTAGCAGTATAGAATCGTGCTGCGCTTAGTTTCTCACTTTCTTGTGAGATACTTTTGATGAAAAATGTAATATTAAGAGTTGAAGAGTTACTTATGATGAAAATTGTAATACTTATGTGGAAAATTGTAATACTTAAAAAAAAAAACAAATCTGACCTGTCTCATAGATGATGATCCATAAGATGGTCTCATATATGGGAGAATTTACTTAATCACAAAAAAAGTAAAATTCATTTGTCCCTAGAACCCCAAACTCCGATTCGACAGGATAGTGGAGGGCACAATCTCCTAATTAACATGAATTCAGGCTCTACATTTATAATTCTTTGAATCTAACTTATGCAATCATTGATCACTAAGCTAGTCAATAGATAAATTATTGTAGCTCTAATAGACAATTGAAGGGTATGTATGTTCTATCTCAAGTCTCAACTAAGAATCTAAATTGGTAGTGGAATTGTCATATCCCTTCACGTATATAAATAAGTTGATTACTGATAGTTTGAACCGTATATGTTTCGTTTCGACTAAAAACTTAAGCAGATGTAGTAAGTAGAATGTACATTTATTATTTATATATTATATACCCAACACAGACTAACACCTAAGCTAATAATAATTTGGTTTTTGGGTGTTTGGTTTTGATTAGTTTAACTGTGCACAATTTGTCTTAGTGCATGCTGGCATTGATATGAACCACACACATATATACTTCCCTGTTTTCTTTCAAGCTGAGTTATAATATGAGGTTGCATTGATAGAAGATTGTTGAATCTTGATTGTGAAAGAAATGGAATAATTTTATTAAGATTCATGTCTTATATATGGTCTATATATATCATGCATTTTGTTGCAAGTGTTGGCCACTACCCAGAAGGTGCTCCAACATAGTGATGACATCACTGACTTTTGCTCATTTCTTTTGTTGGAAGATTATTGCTAAACTATAATTATTTCTCCTTTGAAGATGATGATATACAATTAATTAATTAGTATTACTGACTACATCGACCTGATCACTTTAGTATTGTGATAAAAAACTCAACTAAAATAGAATTTGTACAATTTCTCTTTTAAAAAGGGTTTTAAAAACTATAAAGCATATAACTATTAATGTGCAATTCAATTATAAGCGTAGGCTTAGTTGAGATGGAACACATGCTTCAATTTGGTTGCATTTTTCTACCATACTATTTAAGAGTAAAAATTGAAAGAAATCAGAAAAATGTCTCAATGATTCCATTGCACACTTTTAATAATCTAATGACAAAACAAGGTACTTCATAGTCTATTTGACATTTTTTCCTTTTAAAAAACAAAATTATACAGTTTCCAGATTCAGATGAATATATGTCTGCATGTCACTGTAGAGCTCCATCACTGTGCCATGAAACAATGTCTGTCAACCCAACCTTAAACTCCTCGAATTCCTTTCCTCCATTGACGACCTTAATCTCCCCTAACCAAATCTCTGTTGACACTCGAAGAATTTCCAAGATTAACACTACTCCCCCTTTGACAAGTCTGCAGATTTCTCCACCCTTCCCTCTCTCCACTCCAAACCCCATTTTCTTTACTCTCTCCTCAATCTCTCCGACCTCTGCAGTCAAAGTGAATCTCATTCGTTTCTCTTTCATCTCCGCCTCAAATAGCCCTGACAAATCCAGTCCAGATGACATCGAGATTATGTCGAATGCATTCATTGTTCTAATGTTTTTGCATTCTTTATGATCAGGTAATGCTACTTGTTCTAGCGCCGGCGGTGATGATTTCTTGAACCAGGGGTGCTTGATCATCAGTTCTTCAATGGTGGGTCTTGTTACGGGATCGGGGTCGAGCAGCCGGTGAATTATTTTCCGGGCAGGCTTTGAAGCGGCGGACGGGAATCGGAATTCACGGCGGCTAATTGCGCGGAACATCTCTGACGTGTTGCGGCCCTCGAAGGGGCGGCGGCCGGCGAGGAATTCGAAGAGGAGGACCCCGCACGACCACGCATCCGCCTTGGCGCCGTCGTATCGTTGTCTGGTCATCACCTCCGGCGCCGTGTACTCCAGCGTGCCGCACGTGGTTTCCAGGAAGACGTCTTTGAGGTGTTCGGATAGTAGGGCGGAGAGGCCGAAGTCGGAGATCTTGAGGTTGCCGTCGCCGTCGAGGAGTAGGTTTTGGGGTTTGATGTCGCGGTGGGCGACGCCGTTCTGGTGGCAGAAACTCAGGGCGGAGATCAGCTCCCGGAAATACCGGCGGGCCGTGGAGTTGTCGAACCGGCCGCCGCCAAGCTTGGTTAAGAGATCGCCGCCCTTGGCGAGTTCCATGACGAGGTAGATTTTCGTCTTCGTGGCCATGACTTCGTGGAGTTTTACGATGTTGGGGTGGTGGTTCAGCCGCCGCATGGCCAAGATTTCGCGGAGAATATACGGCTCCACCGCAGCCACGGTGGCTTTCTTGTCTATAACCTTGACGGCGACATCGGCGTTGTCTTCTAGACGGCGGCCGTGGTATACTTTGGCGAAGCTGCCGCGGCCCAAGAGGCGGCACAGCTCGTATTTCTTGAGTATGATGGTTTTGCCTCCGCCCTTCTCACGGCCGGCGTCCATGCCTCCAACTGCCGCGAAGGGAGGAAGTCGCCGCCGGTTTAGTGATGCGCAGCCAAAGCTTTGTTCATGGATATATATATATATTGTTTGCATCAGTTACATACCCTATTTTACATAGGAATCGTGTTTGACTTTGACATGGATTAGGATTATTATTATTATTATTATTATTATTATTATTATTATTATTATTATTATTATTATTATTTAAGTATATTAATAGCTACAATATAATAAGATGAGAATTTTTTTTAGAGTATCATTGTGATTCTTGTGTTGTGGATAGGAAATTTGGGGCATGTTTGGATCAAACATTGAAATTGGAATAATATATCAAATATTTAGTAATAATAATAATAATAAATAAAAGAAGTCTTTTTCAAAAAAAAATAAAAATAAAAGAAGTCACTTTGTAAATAAGAATTTGAATCAAAATAAATAAATAATTAAAATATTTACATTTTTTTATGCTACCGACTCTATTACATATATGTAATGTGTGTGTGTGTGTGTCTATATATATATATATATATATATATATATATATATATATATATATATATATATATATATATATATATTAAAATTTCATATTTAATGCATGAATAATGATATTTTTATTTTTTCTACCTTATTATTTTTTATTCTATTGTTCAAAATTAGAGAAATACTGTAAAAGAGTAATGAGTTCTGTAATTACTAAAGAATTTGAATCTAATAGTAAGATACAATCGTTATACCCTACACCACGGCGCGCGTAGCACTGTGCGCCGCGCGCCTCCCAAAACGACGTCGTTTTGGGGTCGTTTTGGGAGGCGCGGTAGGAAGTTGTTGTGATTATGTGTATTTGTTCACACAGTTATGTGTATTTGTTCATACAGTTATGTACATTTTTTATACAATTATGTACATTCTTTTTATACAATTATGTACATCCGAGTCAGAAAATCTGTGTGTATTATGTTAAGAGTTGATGTGTATTATGTTAAAAGTTTATGTTTATTATGTATTATGTTAGATTATGTGTATTATCTTTTAAAAAGAGTATGTATATTTTGTTATATAATTATGTACATTCATGTATACAATTATGTGTATTCTAGTATAACATTATGTACATTTTTGAACAACGGGGTTTTTTAAAGAAAAAATTACTGCCAGGGGCGGGAAATTTCAAAAAAAAAAAATAAATTAAAACGACGTCGTTTTGCATCTGGGCGCACAGTGCAACGCGCGCCGTGGTGTAGGATATAAATTGCCACAAAAGTATGCATACAAATATAGTAATGGGTATCAAAAACCCATAGTAGGGTGCAAAAGTCCCGTCTAAACACCATCTTGTAGTTACTATGCGAAATTGTACAAAGAGAATTATATTATACCTATTCAACCACTTCTTAGGTTGATTTTTTTTTTTTTTTGAATAAAGGTTAAATAGACCATTAAACTACACAGTGTAATTGGGTTATCGAACTAAAAAAACAAACACTACAATTAGGTCAACGAATAATGCAAAATCATTACATCCTCCCAAATGCTCTGTCGGACCGGGGCGTGGGGGCCCTTAGGGTCGGGGTTCAACCTTTTGGAAAGAATAATGCAAAATCTTGCAATTCAACCTAAAATGACATGTTGACCTGGTAATATGATGATGGCAGTTACCAAACTTAAATAAAATAATTATTTAAAAATTAAAAAGAAAAAAGATACCCATCCCCACCCTTGTTCGCTGGTCACCTTGTTGCATTCTCCAGTGAGAAGGCAACCTGACCCAGTGAAAAGAAAACCCAATGGTTGCCTTCTCAGCAAAGAACGCCTTCTCTAGTGAGAAGGTGGGGTTTCCTTCTCACCGAAGAAGGTAACTGGATTGAGAAGGCAACCAACCTTCTATGTTGATTTGACGGTGACCGGTGAACAAGGGTCGGGTGATTTTTTTTTTTTAATAATTATTTTATTTAAATTTAATTTAATAAAATAAACTTTTAAAAAATAATTTTAAATTCGATAACCGTAACATCAGCATATTACCAGGTCAACATGTTATTTTAGGTTAAATTGCTTGATTTTGCATTGTTCGAGAATGTAATTGTATTTTTTTTTTGTTCAATGGCCCAATTACAATTTGCTGCATAGTGGGATATGATGACCTATTTGACCATTTTTTTAACTCATATAATTTGTCTAATTTTATAATTTAAGATTAGTCCGTCAATATAAATTACTCTGTCTTTAATTTCTCATTTTACTTGTTATGTTTATTATTCATTGGTTAGAACAACTTTTATTTCTTCACTTATTTTCTTTAACATTTTCTTATAATTTTTAAAATTGATTTTTTTGTGTTTAATAGTACATTTAAGGTAGATTTCAAATATATAATTTTTTTTAAATGAATTTTTGTTTTTAATAATACACTTGAACTTGATGTAGGTTTCAAATATATATATATATATATATATATATATATATATATATATATATATATATATATATATATATTTGTTTAAATTTAAATTTTTTTGTGTTTAATAGTACATTTGGTGTAGATTTCAAATACGGAATCTATTGATTTTTATATATTAACACCAAATTAAATCATACAAAAATTGTACTGTTAAAAATTTTGGTGAAGTTTGTTATTTAAACATAACACATAAAATGAGATGAAAGAGTAAATCTTTAAATTATTTACAGAATATTATTGATCTCCTTTTATTGGGTTTTGGATTTTACAAAAATGAATTAATTTCATCTTTTTTTTTTATTATTAATCTTCAATAAATTAAAGATATTATCTTTTCTTGATCAAAGAATAACGTGTAAAACTTTTCCTTGAATGATTTTTCAGAATTGCTAATTGCTAATTGTAATTGGTCAAAATATATGCAAATACTTGGCATGCATGCAATTAAACCTTTATTCTTTAATTTTGTTTATTCATATAATTCAAAAAAAAAAAATTAATCTAACCGGTATGAGTTTTTTTTTTTCAACTAATTGACTAGGATTTTAGAACTTATTAAACCGAAAGAAACATACATCATATAATATTATCATCAGAGTCATAATTCAAAATGTGATACATACAATCGAAATACAATCACAAATACCATTTGTACCACTTATAGCTTAAGTTTTTATTTTTTATTTTAAAAAAATAATAAATAAAAAGTAGAATGAGAATCGCATGCATCCAGCATTTTCAACTCCAAGACTCTCAATATCAATATTACTGCCATGTCAAAATATTTTGAGTACGTACATTGAATATAACTTTTTAAGTTTTATTATTTCTTAGAAAAATAACAAATAAAATTATTGATAATTTTTTTTTTTTTAGTAGGATGAGAATCACATGTATTACAATGTTTTCAACTCCAAGACCCTCAATATGAACATAGATAATGCTATTTGTAGTCGAAAATTAGGGGTAGACATTCAAGACTTCCTTACTCTTTTGATTATGACCTTTAAATCAAAAAGGTCAATACGCACTTCTCACAAAAAGTCAAACTTAGAATTTGATGATTAACAAGTTAACTGCCCAACTAAGTTATCTTAGTTAAAATTCGTCACTCATGCATCACGTGTTTATTTGTACATGATGTGATTTCGTATTTTTTTTTTAATTTGTTTTACATAATAATTTCTCTACTAGTTGTACAATACTATGTATATGTTGGGCTAGATAGTCGAGTCTAGTATCATGCATGTCATTGAAACATGACACTGATTGTTACACACGTATAAAGAAATAAAGTTACGTATTTGCTACTAATTATACATTTTGGTGTAATGATAAGCGTTTGATCATATCATGACAATATATATTATCATATAATAATGTTACATTGATTATTTTCTTTTTTAGGTTTATCATATAGAAAGATCATTTTAGTGTTGACAGTTGACTATATTTTGAGTGCAATTATCATCCTTATTAGTAAGGATAGGTGTTAATATAATAGTACTCGCTCTGATCTGCATAATTTAAACACTAAATATAATGAGCATCATATATAGAAGTCTCCAATGGAGAAGTAGCAAAAGTTGATCTACAAAGTGATGATGTACAAACAAAAGGCAGTAAGATTTTGGAAGCCTTTTTCTTCTTGATAATACAAAAAGCACATGGCATAGGTTGAAAACCCAGCAACCTAAGTGTGGGCTGGTTATGGGTGATCTCACAAATATTCTGCATTGAGGGCACATGATTGGGTATCGACTTTTTGGGCCTTATTTTTGAATGGAAAATGTAACACATTTAGCTTAAAAGATTTATTTTAGATTTGTATTAATTAAGTGAATGACAAATAAAAATATTCTTTTGCTAAATTATAGCTGTTCATGTTCGTGCCCTGTAAAATTTAAAGGGTTGATACAAAATATTTCCTCATGGGTTTTAAGGTACAGTTGCGTTCTGAAGACCTGAACCCAAGACATCTAGTTAAACTAGAAAAAACTCATGACATCTCAATCATACCTCATACATCCAGAATAAGAGTCAAATAGACCATCCAATTACACACCAAACTGTAATTAGGCTACTGAACTAAAAAAATTACAATTGGATCCTTGAACAACACAAATTCATGCAATTTAACTTAAAATGACTTGTTTACTTATTAATATGCTGACGTGTCGGTTACTGTATTTAAAAATAATTTTTTAAATTTTATTTTAATAACTTTAAATGAAATTATTATTTTAAAAATAAAAAAAAATAAAAATTGAGAGGCTTGCTAGAGACGAAGGGGATCCATGGCAGGTCGGAGACGAAGGGAACGGACCCTTCATTTCCGGGCAGCCGCCATGGAGACAAAGGGTCCCCTTCGTCTCCAGCCGCCATGGACAGCCTCCATGGAGACGAATGGGACAGTCTCCATAGCTGGCTAGAGACGAAGGGATGACATACTGTTTTTTTTTTTAAATAATTATTTAATTTACAATTATTAAAATAAAATTTAAAAATTACTTTTAAATACAGTAATCAACACGTCAGCATATTAATATGTAAACTAGTCATTTT